CTCTGTTTCCAGCTTGTAGCGGATCTGCCGCTTGTCTATGCTCTGTTTCCAGCCTGTAGCGGATCCACGACACTTCGCACAGCTGGCTTGCCATTGCTTCCCTCATCTATGGTCGCAGCTGCCGCTTGTCTATGCTTTGTTTCCAGCCTGTAGAGGATCTGCCGCTTGTCTATGCTCTGTTTCCAGCCTGTAGCGATCCACGACACTTCACCACAACTGGCTGCCTGATTTCCATCACGCTGTCAACTGTTACTGCACCCTCGATGTGGACATGGCTTTGTCGTCGGAGGAATTGGAATGAAGGAAAGACAGGAATATTCAACAATGTTAGCGCCCCACATGGTGACAATCGGGCGTTACCCCGACCGGCGAGAAATAATGGGGTTTTCGAAGCGTGGAAAGAAGAGTCGTACCACGCTCCAATAACAAGAGAAATTGTGCATGTCAGCGTGAAATGTCTTGATGAGTGGCTATAGCTTGAGTGGTTTGGTTGATCAATGAAGTCAATAAAACTCAACTTCAAAACGACAAATAAAACTTAGACTTCAAACAACACTTATCAACTTCGCCAAAAAAAGTTTATTCAGTCTTTCCTCCACTATTTCCTTCCTATTTTCTTCTTTGAACTGACTGGAAAATCCCTTTTTCTTCTGATTTACTCTCCCCAAACATCCTTTTAACGTCACGATCAAGGAATTTCATTCTAGTTCTCGGCAACTCAACTCCACGCGACAGAAAACAATCATCAACACATTCTCACGTTGAGTCACGTCTAGCGGGTGCTTTGAAATCAATTCACTGGCAACAACACATTAACGGCTGAATTTGTATTCGCACAAACAGAAGCAACTTTTTGGAGCCGAAATCACCGAGCCAATACAGACAAGGAGGTTGCAAATAAAAGCGTGGCACCAAAAATGAAACAATTCGAACTAGAAACTGAAATCGCTGTGGGCGTACATCGCCCAGGGAAATTTTTTGCGCAAACCAGTATTGAACAGCTTTTCAATTGGGAGTTCCCATTTTTTGCAAAAGGCGACAGTAATTCTGGAAAAGCAAAATATACGGTGAAGAAGAAACCATCTCACCGTGGGTCCATATAGTGCTGTTTGGAAGTTGAATTCGCGACTGTCTTATTCTCATCTTTCATTCGCATTTTTAATTCATGATTTTGTTTCCGCTTTCTGTTAAAAAAAAACATTGTGATGTTCCATCCATGACACTCACTCTAGTTGAGCGATCTTCTTCTCTGCGACATCTGCTCGCATTCCTGCCTTAACGATAGATTGACGAGAAACAGCCTCTTCATCCTTCTAAGAAGCAAGAATTGTTGAACAATCATAAGCACCAGAAATCCAAGTTAAAAACCTACGCTCTGAGTTGAAGGCTTGTAAGCAAACGCCTTTTTTTGACTTCCTCCCAACCATTTCACGTAAGCCTACAACCAGAATAGACAATTCTGAACCCTGATATACCATCATACTTGCAATTCGTTTATATCCTCCTCAATTTTATACAACTGCGTCTTCATCTTATCCATGCTGCTCTCGTGTTGTTTTGGAATGGACCGTTGATGGTTACACAAAATGGCCACGGATCTAGAAACTGTCACAATAAAACGAGATCAATTCTCAATCTTGAACTCACCGATTCGCCGAATCATAAAATTGTTTCACAGCTTCCGGATTTGAAACGTCCACAATCTCACAGTCAAGTTTATCGAGCTCTTGCTGAAGCGTCTTAGATGCGTTGAATGTACGAAAGACTTTTGCTGAGAGTTCTGGCATCAGATCTCGCAAATATTTATTCAAGACTGACGGCTAGAAACAAGACAGCTAATTGGACAGTTGTGTATCATTGCTTACATTGATTTGATCAAATATATCTTCCTCTTTCCCTTTTCTCTTGCAGAATCCCATCAGGTTTTTGAATACTAATGGGTCAACGCTAACGGTATTCAAGTAGCGAATCGAATCCTTCCCCAAAAAATCTAGAGTAATAGAAGTCGCTTCTTCATCAAACAGAATGTGTTCTACTCGCAATGAACAACATCCAACAGTATCTGCTTCTTCACTGCTGTCCTTTTCATTTCCAACCCTCAATGCAAGAACATCAAGCATATAAGTAGCAGTCCCAAGTTGTCGCTCCCCAACGTCACTTGACTGAATTTTTTCAGTATAGTCTTGACGAATTTTATCAATATGATCCTTTAACTTTCGAGCCTTCTCGTACTTCAAATGGTCTTTCTGACCCTTCACGGCCGACCCCCGCCCCCAGAAAGACATACTTGAAGTGACCGTTAACGGAATCCTTATAATACGCGAGCCAACTAACAGAATTGTCGTGAAAGACGTCCTTCCATGAATGTCCAGGAAGCTCCGAAGAAACACGAGGCACTGGGGCATCAGCATGACAATTCAGCGTCACTTCTTCTGGAAAGATTCGTCTCTAAAAAAAGGAGAATTGGGATCCAATCGAATTGACAAAAGTACTGAAGATGGAATTGAGACTCAAATCGAGTTACATACTTTTAATTGTCCCATCTTTGGATGTTCACCACGACCCCTGAACAAGCTCGGAGGCTCCGATTTATATGATCCAACTTTTTCTTTTAACCAATCAAACAAAGCGTACATATACGGTCCCTCTTCAAGCTCTTTTTTCGCCTTTTCTTGTTCTTTTTCTTCCTTTGTGAAATTCTTTCTTTTTTCCTTTAGGTCTTCCCGATTTTTGTCGATATACTAAAAATAAAAACACGGAATGGAAAAAAAATGAGCAAGGAACGTCGTCGAGTTGTGATTTGAATTAAAGCAGGATGAAAGTAATTGAATTTCTCAACGATAACTTACAGTTTTAATCAAAGAAAAATGAACATCAGCGTACTCCGCTTTTTCCTTTTTTAAAACGTGATCCGACGGAAGGCGTGAAATGAAAGCTGTCCAAAAATTGTTGATAAATTTATCCTTTTTCCCGTAGTCTGATTCTATCGCTTGACACCAATAATTTGCAACTTCTTCAGCTTCAGGGGGAAGAATGATTTTTTGATCTCGAAAGAGAACGGGAATTCTATGGGGCTCATAGGCCGGAGTGAAAAGGAGCCCGTTATGCTCCAAATAGCACCACTGAATGCCGTCAGTCGAACTCTCTTTCTCCCACCAGCAATTAATTGGTTCATAGTTCGCTTCGGTCAGTTGAAGGCCCCGTCGAATCTTTGGGACAGTTGTGCTTGCTTTGCTTTCCGATATTTCACTTGCAGCACCAACAGGAGAAGCAACCGCCATCGCTGGTTTTCTCGTCACACGTCTGCTTCCCGATTTTGCTCCAAGTTCGCTTGGTGTTGGCATTGTGAGTGGGGGTAACTCATCGGGTTGAGATGCCATGTCCACAGCAGTTCCCCCAATGGCTAATGCAGTCGCTGCTATCAATGGTCTGTCATCATCTTCATCTGAGAGAGATGGAAGGACATCAATTCCCAGTGCGTCAATTCTCTGCTTCTTCGCGGGGGGAAGAACTTGGTGTCCTCCAAGTAAAGGAGTATCATCATCGGATTCAATCACACTCTGAACATCAAGAAATCAAACATAAAAGAAACATTAATTCAACTCACTCGATCTCGTTTGATATTCTCCTTCATACTTTAAGTCATGACTGAACATATTCTGTTCCACACTGTCCCAATTATTGATTGCATGGTAGAATGTATTCTCCTCACTGAAACTATTCTATATGTTTCATTCTTTCGAAGTAGAAATACTCGAATGGAAAACGCTGAAGTTCCACAGAATTTTTCGACGCAGAAGTCCCAAAGTCCGTCGCATAAACGCAGAAGTCCCAAACTGTCGGATTGTTCACGTCTGCATGACACTCTGTTTAAACGGTACTCGAGTTGCAATTTGATGTCACTCTCCTGAATCGACGTCAAGATGTTCAATGGGGCGATTCATATTTTCCGAAGATCATTTTCAGAATATTTCTGAATGTATAATCTCGACATTGCGAAAACTCGTTCACTTTGAATCATTTTAGACATCAATAAATGATTCAACAATAAAACCAAATGTCTTCCATTGTTTGATAATTTGTGGTTACTATTGCAGAAAAACACATCAAGAGTTCACTTAAACTGAACCCACATGAAAAAAGCTAAAAAAAAGCGAATCAATCAATTAGCCACAAAAATATGGACAAACCCAAGTTGAATTTTTACCGATGACTTCTTGCGGTGACAGAAGTCTTTGCTGTCCGAAAACTCCGTCCTTCAGAAAATCTTGAAGTCGACGCTCCGGGACGTTCTTGTTTGTTAACACGATTGATGTCAAGACGCTTCACATCTTTGGGGGGAAGAATTGTCGCAGATCTTCCGGTAACGCGTGGTAGATTTCGGGATGGCCGACGAGCCTGAGACAAGAAAGATTCGTAGTGAGACGTCAACAATGAACGACTAAAACAGTACGTTGTCTTCTGAAGTCCCGAGCTGAAAAAAAGGAAACATGTCCATCAGCGAGTGAGAGTTCTACGGCTCACCTTGGTTGGCGCCAAACGCGGAGGCGAGCTGGGAAAAGACAATCAGTGAATAGAAGCAATGAAGAGAGTGGACTGACTTGTGCACCAGGGATGCAATCCAAGGTTCGAAATGTTGCTGAACTACTGAAGAAGCCGAATTCAAGGCATCCTGAAAGTGTTTGAATGGAATACACTTCAATATCGGGAGCTTCTATTAAAAGCCCACCTCCCATTGAAACCCAGAATCGAGGATGTAATGCATGCTGCTCTTAGTTGAAAAATGAGACTCCTTGAAAGAAACAATTTTTGAAATGATCAAACAATTATGGTGGCCTACGTCGTGAGCACCTTGTTGAAGAAGAGAAACAAACAAATTAAAGTTTTCATTCATGTCCTTCAGTTCAGCCAGATTCTTTCTCGTTCCCTCCAATTCCGAATGAAGATTATTTGAAGTTCTGAGGAGGTCAGCAGGTATAAGAGAGCAGCAATGACGGAGATTACAATTTAAGTTGCTCGATTTGAGCTTCAACATCGCCCTGCGTCCCATCGATCGTTGCAGGTCCCTAGAATGAAGAACTTCAGCATTCACACATCTGTTGAATCAGTACTCACTGCTTCTGCCATAGCAACCGTCAAATAATCCCTTTTGGATTCGATTCTGCTTTGAATCATTTTATGAGAATTTTCTTGTACTGCTAATTGCTTTTCGAGTTGTCTTTGAATTTCATTCATCAAATACCCAAATCGCGCAACATCCTTAGCGGCATCTTAAAAATCGCACTAATTAATGAATTTTCACCTCAATCGAACTTCCCACCTTCAGCTACGACAACGCCTTGTTCGCCAACAACTTTCTCCATCTGGGCAAGAATAGTTTTGTGCTTTGCTGCAAGAGCATCGATCACTGGCGAAACAATATTTCCTAATGCGCTCTGAGCAGCAAGACGCCGAAGTCTTGGACGATCAGCTGAGTGCTTCATTTCAGCGATACGTCGAGACACTTCATCTCCTTCACGCTTATAGAGTTCTGCTTCAAGCAACAATTGACGTTCTTCTTGCTGCAAACGAGGCATCAAAACACAGAAGCATCAGGTGCTAACCAGAATTGAGTTATAAGTTTCAAGCTTTGCCTCAAGCATAACTCTCATTTCATCCAACAACTTTGAGCGTCTTGCAACAAATGAAGCTCTCTTTTCCTCCAATTGCGAAAGTGTTTCCAATCGCGAACGCCGTTTCTCTTTTGCAACTTCTGCAGGAATGACGTGAAAAGAATAACCCTTCAATGCTTGTCTTACTGTCCAAGTATGACAACACCTTGTCTTGCTTTGCAGCAGCCTTTTTAGCTGCAGCGATGTCGATTTCAAGGCCTTTTTTTTTATCCTGAGGCGAACAGCGTTCCAAGAGTGAACGTTCGAAATGCTTACATCATAGACATCCAGCATTTTTTCTATGCTGACTGAATCACCCAGAGGAGTTGCTTGAAGAATTGCAAGAGTTTCGTGCGTCTGAAAAAGGCGTTCAAGACCCAAACTTCTTGTTTGAAACTTACTTTTTTCTGTAGCAATGCGAGCAATGATTTTCCAGCTTCGGCTTTTTGTACTTCCATAATTTTTCTTTGTTTTGGCGGGAGATTGCTGTCTTTTACTCCTTCGTGCGCTTTTTGAAACTGTTCTGCTGCCTCACTCGCAAGATGAGTGAAATTTTGAGTTATTTCTAACACCAAAGAGGACAGACTTGACAAAAAAGTCGGAACAACTTTTTCAAGTGCTTACTTGGTAGCTCAATAGGCTCTTGAATTCGCTCAACACCTGGACTGATGAACTCATCCACAATTTCACATCTGTAGTCATCGATCAGCTCCAATGCCGGAAGCATTCTTTTGAGTTGCTCGGAAGTCTCAAGTGGGAGATTTTCGCCGTGCATAAATCGATCGAGCTCTTCTTCAGAACATTCCAAGTAATCTGATAAAATTGTAAGAAATGTTTCAACAAGTGAAAATTCTTTATCCGACAAATTCCCTTCAAGGCTTGATGTGTACATTCGATCAGTTTCCTTCAATCCTTCAACAATCCGTTTCAGTACATGGCAGTCTTGAGCATTACACTCAGGTGCAGAACTCATACATTCCGTTACAGAAGCGTCATCCGTTTCGCCTCCTGAACTTGCGATTTTCGCAGCAACTCTCTGCAAATGCTTCTCTAAGGAAGGCAAGACGTCCTCTTCAAGTGAATTTCTCATTGGGGCAAGTTGTTCAGAGAGTTGATCAATCGTTGAACGGAAGAACTCAATGGATCGAGTTTCTATTAAGCGAGAGGCAGACATCAGACACGCTTCATCGTCTTCAATCTACAAAAGAAGAAGAATTGAAACTGAAGCAATTAGACTTCTTTGGGAGATTCACTGTTTGCACTTACTTGCAAATGAGCAGAAGGACGAAAAACGTCAAGAACAAAAGCATAAGGAGGAGGGGGCGCGGTGTTTGATCGTCGTCTTCCAAATAAAAGATATAATGTATGGGAAAATTCAGATGAAACTACACAACCAGAATGAGAATCAACTGGTTGATCATCCATTTTGACATTCAATTGTGGCAATGGGGTCCAAGTAGCTGATCTAAAATCGAAGCTGAACGCATCATTGCGGATCTCGACTTCACCACTTTCACCTGATACCCCTCCGTGAACAACCCAAGAGTTTTCAACGACGACTCCAGTGTGCCTGCGACGGATTCATGATATCTGGCAATGCAGTGATAGGAATACATCACTCACACTTACGGGGCCTGGCTGCCCGCGTCCCTCAATCAGAGGACCATTTTCGATTCGTCAGATGGAACGCCCACGTTTCATTTGTTGTCTTTGTGCTTCGATTTCCACCAAAAATGTACATCCGATCGTCGTATACAGCTGCAATGTGACCAAATCGACGCTCGGGGACGGATGCACTTTTCGTCACTTCAATTTCATTCCAAGTCAGGGTTGTTAAGTCAAGACGCCAAACACTGTCACCCTTGGACCAATCAGCCATCCACCCGCCATAAACATACATGCTATCGTTGTAAACAACAGCGCTGTGCGAATGCCGACGCGGGGGCCCAATTTTCTGCAGCGACACTCGTCCCCAACTTAGAGGGGCTCGCTGATGTGCCCCTGTAGGTGCCCGTGAGAGTGAGATGGTTCGAGTCCATTGCCGAATGGTGTTCCCTGTGGCAGTCGGGAAACCTTTCTGGTCATCCCCTTTGGATTCTTGCGCTTCATTTTCTCGTTTCACTCGCGACCATTTTGTTGTCATAACATCGTACAACCAAAGATCTGAGAGAGGGACTTGACCTTCCCAGCTCCACCAAAAAGAAAAAGACGATTCCATGAGAAACCAAACGTAGCAGAATGGCGAGGAGATGGACGTAAAGGCTGCGCGCTCAAATCTGTCCATTTTCTTAATTCTACGAGAAAAATGAACGATTATTTCGCAGATTCAATGGCTTCTCTCAGACCTGAATCGTATTGGAAAAAATCCACCGTGATATTTCACGGAATTGTTGTGCTTCGAAAATCCACCAAAAGCGAAGATATGGAGGCCCAGGAGCAGCAGTGGAACACCATTGTCTCTCTGATGGGGGATTTCCTGTGGTTTCCATGATGACCCAACTACCACCGGGAGAAGCTGCAGGAAAACCATTTTGGTAGCTGGATTCGTCTTCTAGGCGACTGGAAAGTATGGAATCACGATGCTTTCGGGGGTCATGTGACAGAGTGTCCTGGCCTGCTGACATGGGTGACCAAAATAAATCAAAAAATAATGAGACGAGTTCCTTCAAGAAGCATGCAACTGGAGTACAAAGCTGTTCCTTGATTGCAAAATAATTCTACTCTCGTTTCGTGCCTTTCATTGAAAACGCTCAAACACTTTAACAAGAAGTTTTGCGCGCGTTCGTCTTGCCTTCGCTTCTTTTCTCCTTTGGTTTTTCTCTTCTTCAACTCTTCTGCGTCTTTCCCGTTGCTCTTGTGCAAAGCAGTCCATCGTATCGGGTGCTTCATCGATTGCCTTCTCTCTTGTTGCACCGGGTGCTCCATCACCTTCATCGATTGCCTTCTTTTCTTTTGTTGCACCAAATCTTGTCCAACCTTCCTTCGTCAGAAGATATTGGCGATTGTTATAAACAAAGCACCTCAATTGTCTGCGACGCCACCTGATATTACACCACACACTTCCAATCAACAATCAACTCAAACGCACCAAGTTGGAGTCGAATAGTCGTCACGCCATCGACGGGCTGCTTCTTCTTCGTAACTTGTTAGCGCGTTCTCCCCCTCTATTGCTATTGGTGGTTCACTTGATTTTTCCTCAGTAGATGGCTTTTTGGAAACAATGAACAAAGGACGAATTTTATGTGTTTTTGCTTCCCAAACCGACCGACTCGCTTCTCGTTCTATAACAGCGCGTGCGTCATTAGATGGCGGGGGATCTCCTTTCCCGCTCTCAATTGCAAGAAATGGAGGTGGACGCTGGTCGTCGACCTTCTCCACCACTTTCTTCATTTGCAGCAAAATCGATGAATCTCCAATTTGAGCCGCTTGCCTCGCTGGAAGCTTCCAATCAAGTTTGTCTTTAGTAGAATTTTCTATGACGGGATTTTCTGATCTCTCGGTTTCATTACGATGCCGTTTCTTCGAATTTTTGCTATTTTCTCGCGATCTGTCAGTTCGATCTTTTTTGGAAAGAATACTCTTCAACTCTTGTTGAGATTCAGAGAGTTCCTTTTGTGCACGCGACAGAATCGGCAGCATATCTGCATCAGAACATCAACACTCATCATCACTCCAACCACTCACCACCACCTTTACGGTCTATCAACTCCATTTTCTGCAAAAGCGAAACATTTTTGATCCCAGATCAGAAACTCATTTTCTCACTGCACGAAGGAATTCACTTGGTGTGGCAAATCCTTCGATTCCGAGGCGATGCTTTCTCTCTAGATAGACTTGTCTGTTTTCGAAGCTCGCAATCTACAAGACACTCAACTAATTCATCAATATTGTAGATTTGTCTCACTCTCTCATCTGTCCTCATCGCGAGTGGAGCAGTTGCATCTTCTCCGCCACTCAATTGAGAGATCGGTAATCGCGACGTTGGGAATCCCAGTTCGGATAAATTCTTCCAATGACGCGCTGAGGGCTCAAGATTATACAAGAGTAGACGTTTTGCCGTCGAATCATTCATGAGATGAACATACGCAAGAAGAGAATGGGGGCGACTGGTAAGGAAGGAACACAATGAATCAGAACACCAGAAAGGCATTACGTGATGAAGAGAGGAATCTCCTTGGGTTTTTGTCGATATCTTAGAGAACAAAAATTGGAGGAAAAATAAAAGAGAGAAACTGGAGGAAGGATAAAAGAGTGACATACCGGACAAAATCAAAAAGTCTTTCTTCAAGAGAACGATCAATCGCTTGCGCCATAAATTGTTTTGAAAATTGAGCAAAACGACGAATATAGTCAATCATAAATGGAATCGGAATTGTATTTTGGAGGCGTGGAAGAAGAGCAACCACTTCTGGACCAATTTCATCTAGGGAACAACAATCCGATTTTTTCTGGATTGTTTCACTTACAACCAACCAGTTTGACAACATCTTCATGAAGGTTTCTATGCATTGTTTGATTATTTGAATCTCTACAACGTGCTATTCTTGATGCTAAACTGATGCATCGCTCAGCCGGAACCCTGAGAAACGATTGATGCTAACCAGAGATAAAATTTAGAAAAACTCACCACCGAACAAGCTGAGATAGAAACAGCCGGTGAAGCAGTTCCACTGGAACGCGATCAACATCCATTATCTTCAGCGAAATCTTCTGATTCGAGGATTGAAGCTGAAGCTCTCGTGAAGTGCTCCTTCGGCTTGAATTTCGTGATGAACGTTCGTCAACTTTATTGAGTGCCTTATTAATTCTTCCTAATTTGGCGAGAAACGTATCATCTTTATTCTTCTTGAGCCTTCCATCATCAAATTTCCCTGGTTCTGTTGATATTTGCTCGAGATCTTTGGCTTCATCATGTAATAAATGAACAGTTTTGAAAAAGTTTTCTTCGGAGTTATTTCTATTTCTCTGACAAGCGAGAGCGTTGAATTCACGAACCGAAAATACACGAAATGATCGAGTAGCGATGAGTGAAGCCATTTGTCTCATAAAAAAAACAAAAACAGTCATAAACTTGTCCATAACCCTTTGGCCAAACTAAAAATTGTTTCAACTTCCATTGACGTTTCAGCGACGGCCAACAAATCACTTCTAATAAACACATCTGGAGATTTTATCCTGAAAATATTCAAACTAAAATAATTCTGAATTTGACGTCTTACCACGGTGACTCTCCAGTCACCTTCTTGACATTCTTCGACATTCGCAACACTTTTCCATCATATTTACCTTCAGAAAACCTGAACCAAGAACAGCGAACATCATGAAAATGTCTTCACTCCCACCTTCCTCGTATTTCCCTTCCAAACTGATCCATAAAAACTCCAACTCCATCGGGAAGATCATCCTTCCATTCTCCATCATAAGTTGAAAATCCCATTTTAAACCCACGACTCCATTCCGATATACCATCAATAGGTCGATGCCATTTAACATACTTTCCCATCCCTTCTCGTTTTCCTTCCCTCCATGCTCCTTCATACCTTCCAGTTCCAATCTCACCAATCCCCCATCCATGCGGTAAATCTTGTTCCCACATTCCATCGTATATCAATCGAAATTCAGATGCCTGTGCTTGGATAACTCTTTCAACCGTCGCTAGTTCATCACTTTCTCCTAAACCATACAATCGTCCACATCCGTCACGCTTCCCGTGATGAACATCCCCGCAATAGAGAAAGATCCTCTTCTCTGGCGTAGCTGTCAGCATCGTCATGCATAAACCGTCCGTCGCCCCATCCATCCACTGAAAACACCAATGCCAGCTGAGAAGTTGCAAGCGATAGAAGATAGTCCGAATAAAACATCGGTGTCTTGTTGAAGTATCAACTGACATCATTAGCCTACCATTCCTCGATACAACGTTTTTGGGACATCAGAATCTGTCATTCCATCCAGCACTTCATTACTGACTTCTAACGTCCCAAACCCATTCAGAACTCCTTGATCGAAATCACCAGATATACGGCAATAAACGCTCGAATCTGGCTTGATGCTTGCTCTTGAAGAACGACGGGAGAACCGACGATTTGCCTGTGGGTTCCCATCATTTCCATCATTAGAGATTGGAAGACCCAAAACCATTTGTCCGGTTCCGTGTGGACGTCCCAGTCGCATGGAACCTTTGTACGCTCTACATTGGAGAGTTGTTTGTCGATTTTTGAATCTTTTCATTTAATTTTACCGAAACGAGCCAAACGATCCAAATTCAGCCGGAATTTTTCCTTGAAGAAGAATTTCGTTATTTTCTCCCGATAGAAGATCATTCTGAAAGATAACTAGAGAATATAATCAGACTTTTTAAAACTCACTTTCCATTCTCCTTTCAAAGTTATTTCACAAATAAGAGGCAGATTTGGGTCATGAAATGCGTCTTCTGATAAATTCCATTTTGGGACATGATAAAATCCAGCTTGAGAACTGTATTCAAATATCCTTATATATTGGATTCCACTCCCATGTCTTTGTGATGCTCTAAATCTTCCCTCATATCGAGTGACAACAATCATTATGCGGTTGAAGTCTTTCGGATTAGAGAATTCTCTGGACAACTCTGCAATCAAAATTCCTTCCCCTCCAGGTTCGCCAGATTGCCATTCGCCGAGGTATTATGCAACTTGTTCAACTAGAAACATATTTATCTCCTCATAGTCGGCACCCGTTGAAGAGACGAGTATAAATAGGATCCTTGTCCTTGGGGAACTCCCTTGCAGTATTCCCCAGCATACAATCCACCATTTCGAAATCTGCGATAGAGAATGTCGTTTTGTTTGAGTCGACTCTTACTGAATTGTCCCCTTCCATTGGCCTCTTGAATAATCGATCTAATCCCCAATTAGGATTGATTCGACGTTGTTGAAGAATTCGCCGTGAAAGACGTTTCTCCCTTAATTCGACTTGGGAACCACCCGTTCGAGTGCTTCGGTCTTTATCCGAAATTTGTGCGGTCGAAGAATCATTGAAAGATAAATCGTCTCTGAAATAACCGAGTAGAGACTCAACAACATTTGAAAGCGCTTACGGAAATACTCTTGGACGTCTGATGTTGTCCGTCTCACACTGCAATTCAAAACAGAGTGATCATCAAAGTTGATATTCTGTGTAATTCGATGATGCTTACTCAATGACAATCATTGATTCATCAACAGGAGGATCTTTGAAGGATCCCATTTTTTGGTTGATTTCGTTCAATTGTGGTAGCGAGTAGAGCTGGGTGGGGAGAAGGGGTGCCTCGAAAATTGATCGTGGAGTGAACACGCTGGATTCCTTTTTTTGAAGGGAAAATTTCACCCTGGAGAACAAAATGACTTTAGCGGTTCGATGTTTCCTCACTTTGAATAACATCCAATGGGAAGACCCGAATGCCTTGATGCGTCGTTTGCGACTGTTTTTCAGGTCCTTGTCTTCATAGTTAAACAGATAAACGCGCGTTTCATTCGAGAGCGCTAACGGTGGAACTTTTGTCTCTGGCTGTTTTAGTCTTGCGGATGGTGGAAGGGGAGGCCTACTAGAGAGTTGTCCGGCCGTCCGTCTTACGCTTGGTGATCTCTGACGTGCTTTTAGCAACTGCGTACGGAACATTCACCTCAATGTTCCGAAATGACGACAACGGCGAGTCGACACTTCCACTCGATGGAAAGACTGCATTGCAGCGAGTGATACACAGTTTCCAATGATTTCATCAGCGACGAAGGATCCTTCAAAATTCCATACAATCCCATTCTGGAAAGATATGGAAACAATTGGAGAACATCAATACACGATTTGGACTGACGCGATCAGAGAAGAGAGCCGCTCCATTGCCCCAACGTAATCCTCCTAAAAAGTCTCCAGTGTAAATTAGAACATGATTGGATGGCGTTGGACTGCGCGGGGCCAGATTGAAAGATTCGAAAGACGCTAAAGGAGAAGAGGGCGATGTTTCCATTATTCGGGTTGAGGGAGAAATGCTTTGATGCTGTAATTGATCTTTGAATAAATAATTGGAATAATTTGTGAATAAAGATGATTCGATAAAAAGCTTTCCTTTGCCGGAATATCGATGATCGATAAAATCGCCCATGAAATAAAATTCCGTCGCGGGGTCTGAAATTGTTGGAATCAAGGTTTTTGAATTCGATCGTTTTAGCTGGCTTGTCGTCGAATGCGGTTCCTCTGTCTGAGAGTCACTCGAATCACTGGATTCAATATCGTCATCTTCTTCGGATGTTGTTGGAGGGTCGAAAAGAACAGGAAGTTTTGGTTCAACCCGTCTCACGACAGAATCGATGTGGTAAATTGGTTCAAGAACTCGAAATGGAGCCTCATGAGGGACTTTCCCTGCGAAACTGGGACACGGAGAAGCTTTTAATAGAGCGATAAACTGGACTCACCAAATATCACTGGGTGGTGGACGTCGCGTCATTCCAGCATCCTCAAGCGCATGTTTCCAGAATCGAGCGTTTGACTCTGTTACTCGAATTTGGAGTGGAGATTCGTTGAGGAATCCAACGTCCTTCGAGTACGCGGTGTTTGCGAGCATGAGTCGATATCGTCGGGAGAGATTTGTTTCAAGTCGATCGCAACGTCGTGGAGATCGAGCTGTTCCCCCTTCTCTACTTCGAGGTGAAAGAGCTCCATTGACGATAATCAAATTATCGATCCCATCATTCTCAATACATCGACAATACTGTGAGGAAGAACAAACGGTAGAGACGCATTGGAGGTTGACTTACCCCATCATCAACTTGACCGTTTGAATTTTTAGTCAGTTGAACAATTGAAGTCATTGCTCTGAGTGCAGGATCTTCAGAAAGCGAAACTTCTAAAGGTGAAGCAAAAACAGAAGCCAATTCGAAGGCAGACAGCTCGATGTACCACCCTGTGACGCTTTGCTCGGTTTCAAAGTCGGCGACGAAGCGGTCACCATCCGACGCATTTGGCATGAGAAAGTAGATGCGTGATCCGGACAAGCGCGTGAGAACGGGAAGCCAAACGGGATCTGCTGACCAGTCCGGACGATTTCGCTGATCGACTTGCCAGACTCGAACAAACGACATTCGAGACTGCAATGAGACGGGAGCCCACGGCCGTTCTGAGCAGAAGAATTTGTTCGCGGTTCAGCATCAGGGCCACGATACCTTTTGGAACGACGACTGATCTTGGAATCGCAATATGGGGAATAGAATGGGACGATGAACAATGTCGATCGACAAGTAGTGCGATTTCACTTGCCAGAGCGAGACGACGATTGTCCCACTCAATGCCTTGACTGACGATTGATGATTCTGTTGTTGTCGGGATGTCCCAATTACGACTTTCATTTGTCCAATCGAGAAGACCGATTTCATTTTTCAACCACGCCTCTATCTTTGAGGTCCATCCCATCCGTCGCTGAACGCGACTTTTCTGTAAGTCCCAAATCATGAAATTTAATATCAACGCAACACATACCGGACGGCTCAAGTGGCTCTCAGGGACATTCAACGGGAAACAGAATCCTTTCAACGTATTTTTGTACTCCTGAGTCAATTCGACCAAATCATGCGTACGAGATGTTGAAAAGATTTCTCCAGAGCGTTCATGTTTGTCGCTTTGAATTTCTGAATCAATTTCTTCGATTGCATCAAACGCAAGTCTCCATCGATCCACAATATCCGCCAGCTGAGAAACATTTTTATAAAACTGATTCGATCGCAACACTTGCCTCTCCCAATTCTCGTATCTTGGTTGTTAAGATTTCTTCAGTAACGTCGAGTGTTCCAAACAGATCAAGAGCAGTTGTCTGCGAGAGTAACAACTATGATTCGTCCCTCAATTCCAACATACGCCAGATCTCGCAGGTTTATAGAGATAACTTGAGTGACTCGATTGTATTTCCTCTAAATAACTACGGAAACCATCCAACTCGTCAAGTTGCGCTAAACACTCATTTCGTGCAGCAAGAAAGCTGAAAGACGAAAAGGAAACGAATTGTGAAGATGATACGAGTCACTCACTTGGGCAGGACTCGATGGACTGGGGGATCGAATGAAACGCATTGAACAAACGTACAAGGAACGTCAATGAAGACGTCGGATGGGACGCGTGATTGAAGCCAAGTTGGACCATTGGAAGCCATTCGAAATTGGTGAGCATCAGTCAATGAGCCATCAATGTCTAGTTCCATGCAATAGGAATGATTCACTAAACGAAATCGTTGTTGAGACATGAATGGTAAAAGAGGTCGCGATGATTGTCCGTCGAATTCTGAATCTATTGGGATCCGAATGACGCCATCCTGCTCGACTGTAACGTCGTCAGAAATGATCGATTGAAGCGCTTCACCAAGAGCAATTTCAGCGTCGAGTGAATCGTCATTCTCCTGTTCAGACTGTTTCCGCTCTTCGAGTAATGGAATGGCAGATAAGTCGAGAGCCTCCACCGTGACGAGATAGACGCCTGTTCCTGTTTCTCGGCGCGACAGACGGAATTGTGGATGTCGGAGAACAAGAGTGCGCGCGACGGCATCGTAGACACACTGAGTAGTGAAGTGCATTGAATCAGAGACAGAGCCGTACCTGTTTCGAAGACGCATTGAGCTGAAGTGACTCTCCACGCGGAGTTTCTACTCGAGCACCTTCTTCGATCAACGGGGTCAAATGGTCGAAATCATCATTAAAATGAACCTCTAAACGTCCAGCTGCTGTACAAGAGCACACAGATGTGAGACGTAAATGATAGAAAAGAGTT